AACTTWTTATATGTAAAAGATGTTTTTCTGATCCATAGAAACCTTTAAACCAGTTAACGAAATCTATGAAGAGTATATGATAACACTAAGTACGGTCCAACTACGACTAATTAATCTTTAACAACAAAAAAAACTACGACTAATTAAATAGATAGTTGCACGAGTGGGATGGGCTGCCAAATCTTAATTATGCCAACTGATTAATTATTATATATCATTTTTTATCAAACAACATGTAGAATCTTTTGTTTTTGAGACAGGACATTCTATTGAATATTAAGAATTTTAGATGACTACGAATTATATTGAGGTAAGTTCTTGACTTGAGTCACATATAATTTTGGATTTTTGAGCAACGCTTGTGGTTATATTGCATAAAATATCTTAAATACTGTTAAATATATTTGATAAGAAAGATAATGAAAATCTTGTTAGATATGTGTGTTTTATAAGCAGAGCCGGTTCTGAGAATTTAAGGGCCACAAGTAAAAAAAAATGATCAAAGGATGAATCAAACTTTCCACCTCTTTTTTCTTCTATGTTGCCCATGATCCAACTGAACTTAAGAAACTTTATGCATATTTTTGGACCGATAATATATATAACAAAACATCAAAAAATTTTAGCCGCAAGCATAGATTTGATCTGTTTGTCCTCAGGGACGGCCCTGTTTATAAGAAAGATATTGAAAATCTTGTTCGATAATGTTGACGGATGCATCTTAAATTGACAGTATTGAATCTATGCGTATAAAATATATGTATTGAATCTATGCGTATAAAATATATGTATGTAGCTAAATTGTTACGTTAAGGAGCAAAATAAATGGCTATTTTAGCACTTTTCGAAAATAATAGTTCAGAAATATGGGTTAGCATGATTAATAACTAGTAACAAAATATTCTATCTTAAATATTGCACTAGCAGCCGGAGTATTGTTTTTATTTAAAAAGGGAGGGCCAAGAGCTATAACAAATACAAAAATAGCAACTTACTGAAAAAATCTCCGAGAATATGGCTAAGAATATATTATATAATTATAGAGTTTTCTCTCCATCTAAGAGGTATCTATACCATTAACACAAAAATTGTTATATTAAAATTCAAAGTAAATGTTCATTTTAATGCATGTTTTTATTGTTGTTATTTATAATTATTAGATACTAAAATTTAAATTCAAAAACGAAAATAAGTAAGTAAATAAAAGTAAATACAAGATTATGAAATATTTTTCGGTAATAATAATATAGGAAGAAGAAATAAAAGTAGATGTAAAAAGACGTAAATGTGTATCGAAAGATGATAAAATAAATTTTTCGTGAAAATGTGTTCGAAAAAAATTTGATTATATTTAAGAAAGATATATGCATAAAACTAATATAAAATCTTTTATATCGTATTCACTATTTAAAATAAATAAGATTTCATAAAATACATGACATGTATTATTGAACCGATAAAGTCGAACGCATTCGTTTCACCATATAAACATTATCTTATCGGAATATTCATTGGATTTGAGGGATAAAGCATTTCTAAACTCATTGTAACATCATGAGTATTTCGTTCATACTTTTAAAAGAAATATATTTGACACATTCACATTTAGTGTGAGGTTGGGATACTATTAAGTCAATGGTCAACATTAATACTTTAATACATTAAAACTTCCTAGAGATGTATATAAAAATAATTTTTCCCATATAAAGAATCATGAGATTATCACCAAAGACGTCTCCTCTTCTCTTCTAATTTATGTTGGTTATCACATGATACTTAGCAATTCATTGATAATATGTATGTTATATATTTTTTGATAATATATTTTTATAAGTATTTATAAAAAAAATTAAATTATATTGATATTCAATAATTCAATAATTTGAATATTCGCGCTAGTTATAAATCTAGTTTAACTTAATGACAAAAAAATCGTAAGTGCATGAACCTGGCAGAATTCGATGAACCTTTTGAACTATTGTTTAATGATATGCAATATTTAAATATTTATTTATTGTCCAACTTGCGTTGATGACTTGATGCATAAACTAAAGACAGCTCATATTGACCCTCCGGAAGAATTTCAAAATCAGAAATGTTGTAGTAATACAAGAATTTAAATTTCTCTAATGATCAAGCTAGATATAAAATATGCTAATCAGAAAGTTACTCAAATCAAACATAACATGTATTGATAAAACAAACAAAAAAAAACTTAACCAGTGATTTAACAGTACTATAATTTCTGTTTGTTGACAGTAATTTAAGGATTAAATTTTAATAGATTTCAATAGTAAATAAATAACCAAACAACTACCTTCATTAAAATTTATTATTTAGCTGTTAACCACAATTCACTATTTTTATAGTTGCAACTTTTTATAAAAATAATCACTATAATTAGTGTGTTGTCCACTTTAAAGTTCACAATAATGAGTAATTGTTAATTTTTAACTAACCTACAAAATGATAAAGTTATAAAACAAAGAAAATGATGAAAGAAACAAAATAAAATGGAAAAGCATAAGAAAAACTAAAGATGATTAGTTCAACCATTTATAGAAAATTCTGGTTGAAAAAAATGTCTCCTAAAAAATCGTATAATAATTAAAAAAAAAAATCCATGAGAGAAGAAGATGCATGCATGGTAGAAGTCACAAGCAAAAATACGAATGTTTGAATAGACAAAAAGAAATATAAAGACATAAGAGCCCATCATTTTCACATACACCAATACATCCCCCTCTAACCCAATATATATTATTAGGCCATTCCTTATTAGTTTTTTTTTTCTTTCTAAAACACTATCATAATTAAATCATATGGACTAATTTGAAAAGCATTTTAATGTTGACATAAGATTCAATGCTTCGGATTGAGATTGTTTCTATGAAATATTACCTACATTACAAATTTACAATTTGCAGAGATGCATGTAATTCAATTCCATAGACAGAAAAGTATTTGGATTTTGTGAACAACATTTGTTTTACACGTAGGCATTTAAAAAAGAACGAAGATATTATGATATTTTATTCAATAATATTAAAAACTTTATAATAACAGGTCTTTTTGACATGCATTATAAAATGCACCACTTATTTACAAAAATGCAATCACTTTTTAAAATTAATTTTGATCTACATATATAAACTATCTCCCAAAAAGGGTCCATCTTTCATTTGGGAGAAACAAATCTTAATTACAGCTATACAGTATATGAAAAGGTCATGAACTCAAAATGTTCAATGAAACAAAATAATTAAATTAGTAAATTAATTTGGAAAAAAATAATGTCAAAGTTCCATAAAAAAAGGGGGACATAGAAGGAATATCACGAAATTATCAACAGAAACGCACCGAGTTCACAGTTTCTTTCTTCTGATAAACC